GAAGGAGAGAAGTCTCGTTTCCACCCAGCAATGTGCATGCCTTTTAATCTTGGCGCTGCTGCCTCCCTCATGTGTTTTATTATTAAACAGCTTTGTGGGAGCTTTTCCCGAGGGAGACTCAGGCGGGGGTCCCCTCCCCCTCTCTTGTGGCTTCAGTCAGAGGCTGCTTCCCTGCCTAGTGGTCCCTCTTCCACATGGGTTCTCAAAAGTGCCTCTTTTTGGCCCTTGTGTGTGGCTGGAGGCGATGAGCACATTGGTGCCTGTGTTTTCTAGCCAATTCCAAGCACCCCATGTCTTTGAGTCTTCGTCAGTGCACCGGCTGCCAGAGCCTTGGCTGGAAGGGAGGCAGGTATTTGTTTCAGAGAGGTCACACGGGCTGTTTCAGAGAGGTTGTGCCCAGCCATTTCATGTTTTCCCCTGGATCCAAGGCTCAGAGCATTGACCATGAGAGCGGGCTGGGGAAAGGGTTTGCTCTCCTCTCCAGGCAGCACAGGGGCATCAGATAAATAAACAAAATATTGCAAGAGTATTGATGTTTTAAGCAGGCTTGTATTTTACGTAAAAAATATTATATTTAATTGGGTTTGTCTGTGTCCTTTATAAAGTTTACATCTCTGTTACCTGGCTTTACATTTACAAAGTCCCATGTCAGAGCTGGACCTCATGACAAATGAGTTTGACACCCCTGGGCTAGAGTTTCATTGTGTTTTCCTCTTCTTTACTCTCACTTTCTCATTTGATAATGGGATGAAAATTAGGTAGGCAAAAATCATCATCTTTTGTATTTAAGAGGATGTAGAAGAAACTCCCGAAGAAAACGATGGCAATCCCAGAGTGTGCTTCTTTGATTGTATAGTTTAAAAAAGGAAAGAAATCCAGCTTGTTTATGTAAGTATTGTCTAAGCATCCTGCAGACAAGAATAACTTGGAAGGCTATGGATTAGCTACTTCTCCATCCTATGGAGCAGTGGATGCCTTGACAGGTGCCACTGCCCAGGCAGCAGTACCAAGTGTGTGAAGGTGCTATCCTAAGAAAACAGCACAATGGTTTTATGAAATTTGAAGAGCAAACTGTATACATCTGCCTTTGGACGATAATGACCATGCGTGTGAAACCTCAAGTTTGAACAGAATCTCCCCTTTTTGTTTTCACAGCAGCAAATCCTTTGTTGTGCTCTACCGCCCGATTTCACTGTAGGAATGGCCTGTGCATTGATAAAAGTTTTGTGTGTGACAATCAGAATAACTGCCAAGATAACAGTGATGAGGAAAGTTGTGAAAACCTGCAAGGTAAGTGCAAAATTGTTTTTAAAAATGATATTCATAGAAAAGTAAATTATCTCAAATATGATTTTTGGACATTATGTCACCTTTTCCATCATTACACAGGGATATCATAGCTTCATTGGGATAGCGTGGCTTCATAGTCTCCCACTTTTTTGAAAATAGAGGTAGCTGAATAAAAATGTCTGCACTCTTTATGGTTAGAGAGCAACCCTTATCTTGTCAGAGATAATGAGAAATTTCTTCTGTAGCATTTTCCTTTGAATGTTTCACAGTCTTGTAGGAACTGCATAGAGTTCAGTGGAAGCATTGTTGAACTGAACCTGTGAATTCCCATATTAAGTTTGCTAAGCATTCTCTCCGTTTTAGAAACAGGTAGTTTATATTGTTCCTCTATATCCTCTGTTGTTTATTGTATATTGATTACTGTGTAATAAAAACTTTGCTTATACTGTTAGGCTTTTAGGAGGAGTTGTTTTAAATTCAGGGTCATCTACTTTTATGTATAACCTCCTCTTTAGAGAGGTCGTCTTACATGCAAAGTTGTCTCCCTTTCAAGTAAATATGGAACCTGTTAAATTATAAACCATTCCCTTGGAATGGAACTTGGAAGTTCAAACACATCTTCTGTAATTGGATGAGCACATTTCAGGGCAACTCTCATGGGTATCAGTTACATGAAATAAACATTCAGTTGAAGCAAACAAGAATGAGACATATATCCCATTTCTCCTGTTGTTTTGGAGTGGTTTTCAAAGATGTTATATATAAAATAGCACTGTACCCATTCATGTTAACATTTTAGTGCAAAACTATTCCCTTCCATCAAAGCAATACCCCATCAGGATGTGACATACCACAGAGATCACATAGTGGTTAGATTACTGTATTGCAGGGGTCTGGAATCTTTTTTGAGCTAACACAGGTTGGTGGGGTCAACTTCAAAATGGCTGCTGCCAGAGGCAGCATCAATTACAAAATGGTTGCTGAAGGAGGTGGAGGCAACTACAAAACAGCACAGTAAGGTTATGCATAACTCTAGTAGTAACTCTACAACATTTCAGGCAGAAGCTTTGCTTAACAGGATGCCTTTATAAATGTACATATTGTTTAAAAGTATGTTTCTTGCTTACAGACACAGCGTACTGTCAGTCACTCAGTGAAAATCTTTGTGCTCTGGTGGCAGCTGGTGCTGAAGCAATTTTTTTTAAAGAAATTGTACCGCCAATCAGAAGTACTGCTGTGCAAAACCCCAACTCACCCAGTGCTCTTTTAAAAACATTGATAGGCACCATGGGGCCCATGGACATCGCATGGGAGATCCCTATTGTACTCTATCATCCCTGAACTGAAAGATCTGTACTGGCCGCTGGTGTGTTTCTGGGCACAATTCTAAGTATGTATTTGTAACTTTAAGCCTCTAAATGGCTTGGGGATGGAGTAGTGGAAAGGCCACCTGCTCCCTCACTATCCAGTCCACTAGTTAAAACCCCAAACCCTGCTCTCAGTGCAGAGGTGAGGCAGGAGGTGACCAGTGACAAGCTTTTTTTCCCAGTGGTGGCACCTTATGTTT